TGAAGTTTCTGCGGCAGCCCAGAGGAGTGTAGGTAGATCACCTTGTAACTCTCTTCTTTGATGTTTATAGGCTGTTGTATCTTCTGACAATTCATTGAAAATACCACGTCTCGTTGCAATCCCTAGATTCAGAACTGCCCTTCCTGTTGTCTCCGCATGATCCAAACTGTTTGGATTGTATTCCTTCAGTGCGAAGGAAAAAGTGTAAATTTGCAGTAGGACTGTAGGACTTTCTTCAATGTTGGTATTTGCTGATGGATACTATTCGATCTTGTCTTTGCTAAAAGATACTGTTTCAATTGTAGCAATTGGTTCGATACAGTTGTTTCAATTGTAGCCATTGTCTAGTTAGGTTGAAATTTGGGAATTTGGCTACTGTAGTATTTTCGTTTTTATTTGGCAATTAGTGTTCAATCATGGAGTAATTAGGCTCAAAACGTTCGTCTCGCGATTTTCCACCAAACCTGTGCAATTAGTTTTTTTTCGTCTACATTTAATGCTTCCATGCATGTATCGCAAGATTCGATGTGATAGCTACTGTAACACTTTTTTGGAAAACTTTTTGAAACTAAACGTGGCCTATGTATCTTTTTTTCTGCAGTTAATTTCTCACCTCGTGTAACGACCGTATGGTCTACAGTGCGTCAGTGCCGTGCTGCATGCCGGGATCAAATCGAAGTATGATTTTAGATGACTGGACTCGGTGTTACGTACAGCTCGTGTAGCAAGCAAGATGCATAAATGACTAGCACTGCACGGTATATACGTGTACCGTGCATGTACAGTGCCAGATACTACTGCCTAGCTTCACTGTTCGTGTTTCGCTCGAGCACAGAAGATCAGTCAGAGCAATTACATTTACATGTCTCTCTGGCAAGGGGCAAGCCTGGTTCCCTTGGCAGGTCCTGCCCATATCTGTAATACCAGCGCCATATTAGATTGTCTTACTCCTAGGAATTGGGCAGCATATGCAAATGTTTCTTCTTCTTTAAAGTGTGCATGTTTCTGTTTACTGCATTTGAGCTTGCAAGATGAACTTTTACGGTTCTACTTATGGTTGTCTGATTGTCTCGCACGCCATGTTGGTACCTGTGACAAAACCTGTCGGTGCACCAAACAAGGACCGGATGCAAAGGTCACCAAATTTAGCACTATAATAATAGGCAGCTTATGAACTGAAGAAAGGTCGACGGCACTTTTTTACTCTTTGTTTGTCTATGGCGTGGTTCACGTTGGAAAAAACATGCACTTTCAGCAATGGCTTATAAGCCGTACTTTTTCAGCCAACGAATATTATTTTTCTCTCACATCAAATCAGTTAACAGTACTTTCAGCCATGGCTTATCAATCAAACAAGCCCAAACGAACATGCCAATTATCCCTTGTGGTCGTCTGTTGCGTTGAGCTTGTGATTGTCGCAGGTCGGTGAACCAAACACCAACCACATGCAATGCAATGCAAGGCCACAATGATTTGGAACCACATGCAATGCAGTGCAATGCAATCCAATCCAGAGCTAGCCAAATTCCTCCAGTTCCTAAGAGATCAAGAAAAATACTTTGAAGGCTTCACGGTAAAAAGCATTTCAAGAACAGACAACATAGATGCTGATGAACTGGCCAAGGCACCAAATGTCTTCTTTCAAATCCTAACTCAACCATAAATCAAAACAAAGCAAGAAGCACCAAAAGAGATACATATAATATAGAGCGAAGATTGGAGGGCCTCAATTATGGCTCACCTTCACAGACACTATGAACCCGACAATGAAGTTGACGAAGTCATAATGAAACATAGAACAAGAAATTATAAAATTATAGACAATCAGCTATACAAACAAGGAATTTGTGAATCACTACTCAAATGCATATCAGCAAATGATGGAAAACAACTATTGCTGGTAATACACGAAGGCATTTGTGGAACTCACCCAGGTGAAAGAGCCATGGCAGCAAAGACATTTCGACAAGGATTTTATTGGCCATCAACACAAAATGACAATAAAGACATAGTCAAAGCATGTCATAATTGTCAAATCTCTGCAAGCAAAACAGAGGCGCCAGCAACAAATTTACAAAAAATCAAACCAACTTGGCCATTGGCAAGATGGGGAATCGACATAATAGGAAAACTCCCAGTTGCACAAGGAAATTATCAATATGTTGTCGTAGCAGTTGAATAGTTAACCAAGTGGATCGAAGTCAAGCCTATAACAAACATGTCATCACATACAATGAAGAAATTCTTATGGCCAAATGTCATATGCCGTTTCGGGGTTCCAAGGCAAATAACAGTGGACAATGGAACTCAATTTGACAGTGAAAATTTCATAACTTACCACCATTCAATGGGAATTCAACTTTGCTTTGCATTAGTAAGACACCCAAAGTCAAATGGAGCAGTAGAAAAAGCAAATGGAATAATATGCACCGGGATTTCAAAATGCCTAGTAGGGCTCCCCAAAAAAAGTGGATTGATGAACTACCAAAAGTAAGTTGGGCAGACAACACAAGCATCTCAAGATCCACAAAATTTACCCGATTCAAATTACTTTATGGCGAAGAAGCTATGAAACCAGAAGAAATCAAGTTTGAATGTCCAAGATCAAATGCGCAAATAATTGAAGAAGAAGAAGAAGAAGAAGAAGAAGAGCAAATAACAAGCCAAGACTTGCTTGAATAAGAAAGAATGCAAGCAATTCAAAATCTGTAAAAATACCAGAAAGAGACAAAGGGATGGTACAACAAGAAGTAAAACCAAGACAGTTATCACGTGGAGACTTCTGCAATAAGTGATCATGATAAACATTAGAAATGATTATAACTTAGACTTAGCATTAAAAATTACCAGTTCAGCTTGCAATGCGAACTACGCTTCGGTTCCTTGGTGGTTCGGTTCGGTCCGAAGCCGAACAACGAAGTTCACAAAACTGAAAACCGACACCGAACTGAAAAAGCAACAGTTCGGTTCGGTTTCAGTTCGTTATTCGGTTTTCGGAGAAACCGTGCCTAGGCTGAGCCAAAAGACAAGCCAAGAGGCATGCATAGAATCTATAGCTTCTAGCAGGCCCTGCGCACCTGCCGACTGTCGTGCCGGCAAGCGAGCCAGCCTGCGTGATGTGTCACCCTGCCAGGTCAGGGCCATCTCGAGCAGCACATCGCACATGGAAGTAGAGTACGAGTACGTACTCCGTAGGCGAGCATCGCTGTCGCTGTGCTGAGTTGCGTCAGGCGTCAGCCGCCGTTCAGCCTCAGCGGCGGTGGACTGGACTGGACGTGGTCACGGGGAACATCTTGGGCTTGGTTTGAAAAAAAAATTGAAATACCGTTTCAGTTAATTTACGGTGAGAAAAAAATATTGTTCCGACTGAAAAAATATTGTTTCAACTGAAAAAAAACACGCTGAAAAAAGTGGGGGCGTCGATCAATCTCCCAAACAGGCCGCACATAGGCCCGATCCCATGACAAGCGACGCTTGGCCCAAAAGGTCCGCAAGTCTGTTGCCACTGCCATGTCCACCAAGAACCAGCCTGGTGCTGCGTGCGTCCCGGCACTCGGCATCGGCAGTAAGGATCCAAGGTATCTAATGGTGTTTTTAATCAGTTACGGAGTAACTAACTACGGTTCAATGTAATTCAGTATATTTCTTAAGTTGCTGGCCAAGCCGAGCGCATGGTGGTCCGGCAGTCCAGCGGGACAATACCACGCACGTGTGTGCGTCGCGTTTTGTTTTCGTGTATGCGTGTGGTGTGAGTGTAGAGGATGTGGGTTGTGTTGTATCCGATTAAAAAAAAAAACTCCATATCTATCACTCAACTCAAGAAACGGAGGATGGTGATGGTAAAGATCGTGACCACGCCAAGTGAAGATTGTCTGCTGGGCGGCTCCTTTTTGTCACTATCGTGTTGGGTTCTTTCTGCTCCGCGTTGGTTGTGTGTTTACGCCTGGTACTGTGTTTTCTGTTGGCCATCTGTTTTGTTTTGGCCCTGTGTTTCCTTCTGCTAGTCTGGCCGTGGTCCAGCTAGTTTCCTCTGTTTGTGTTTCTGTTTCTGTTTCTGAAATGAAAATGGATGGGGGAAAAACATTTCTTCTTTGACGAGATCCATAGAGGCAGATGTATAAGAGGAAAGATGGACATGCAACCGAAAGAGTAGGATGGGCTATTGAGCTGTGCGATGAGGATTTTGGTAGAAAGGACGGAGGGTTAGTTGCGATTGTGAATCGCGATGATCTAACGGCGACACAATAATGCGCAAAGTTTGGGTCTCTCCTTTGTCCTTACAGAAACCTCAACAGGATAGAAAAAACTGCCCACGAACGAACGTGCAGGGTCAGGGAGGAGTCGAAGAGAACAGTTTGATTTACGAAGAAACCATAACCGTATTGAAAAGGAACGCGGGTTATTGCTGCAGAAGTACGCCTCATTAGGTCTGATCTGAGTCTGTCGCAGAGAGGACGGAATAATAAGGCGGCAAATATACTTTACTATTTAGCTTTCTTCAAAATTGACATAATCCTATTTATTATGGTCTCCTCAGTTGTCTGAGAATTGAGACCAACTTCATACCAAGCTTCAAACGAGCCAAAGTCACTTCAAATCATTTTTTTTTTTTTTAAAAGAATAAAAACAAGTTCAATCAAAGCTGCCGCAGATCGTATTGACCCTGCCAGCTCCAAAGCTCTAGCAAACGCATTTCGATCCATGAACACAGTACATGATATCAAAACTTAAAACAGAAAATCAAACATATCGGCAGAACAATCTCATCGAGAAACCAAACCTGCTCATTGCAGCTAGCAAACAGGCAAAATAAATCACGACAATACATCCAGAAAATCTCAATTCTTAGGAGTAGATAGAGTTGATTCATTTTCGGAAAACAGTATTCTCATCAGGTCTGCGAAACACATAGACGCTCTGAACTTGAGACGACTAACAAAAAAAGACAGTAATATTTAATAGGCCACACATTTCAGCGGAGGACCATCCATGAGAATGCTCTAAGCTGCAGCGCCCTTGCCCTTCTTGCGCTGAAGCTTCTTCATGTAGAACTCAAGCTCTTTACCCTCAAGGATGTACCTGTTATACAAAAAAGAAAAGTGTATTGTAAGGAGCTGCCTGCAATATAAGATATAAGTGAAAATAAGGGGACAACTTCCATTCTACTTGAAGCCTAGAAGGATAAATTTGTGACAGCGACAACATATCTAAAATGTCTAGACTCACAGTGATTGTAACATAAAGAGAATAAACAAACATTAAGCTTTAAGCTACAAAAGTTAAATGGTACACAAACAGATAAGCTGCTCTAACAAAAACAAAGAAAGTCTGGTGGAAGTCCATTATTTCTTACCCATCAGCTCGGCCACACTGTCCAGGGCGGGAAGAAATGCACGCCAGCAAGCTTCCACTGCCAAATTGCTCTTCAATGTGAGCGTCAAGCTCACGTCCCTTCTGACGCTCCTCAAGCTTCCTCTTGACATGGTTGCTCTTCTTTGTTTCCTCAGCTGCTGCCTCACCCTCTTGTCCCTGGATGAATGAATCTCAAACAATAAGTGATCCACCAGAGGAAACATAACAGACACTAAAGATAGAAAACTAATTGACTATAGATCTCTGGTTTATGGAAATACTTCAAGCAAAATATATTAATAAAAACAATCAAATTTAACATTTTCCATACAGACATCTAAAACTCATAGTGCAAAAACATGCAATTCAAATGTGAAACGTGGATAAGAAAAGAAGTGTTCTCTAAGAATCTGAAAGGCACAGGAGTAGACAATATAAACATACAAGAATGAGGTGAGTCAGTTGTCTTTAAAAGAGAGAACAGAAAGAGCTGATATTTGCTAGCTACAAAACATGATGTATGAACTATGAAGCCAATCCCTTATTAAAAACATTTAATAGTAAATAGTGAGACGCTGTGTTGCAAGAAATAATACCTCAGCAGATTCCTTCTTTGCAGCAGGAGCCTTTTTCTTCCTACCGATGTCAACTCCATAGTGAGTGAGGTACCACTGCTTGAATGGGGCAGCATCAACTTGCACAATGGCACTCTTCACAAGGGTTTGAGTCCTCACAAGCTCATTGTTTGATGCATTGTAGACCACGTCGAGGATACGGGTCTTGCGGGTAACAGCTTCACTTCCCCATGAGTAGTTACCAGTATCCAGGCGAAGAGCCCTCCACTTCACATTACCTCCACGAACACGAACCCTCCTCACTGTCTTGTTGCTTGACAACTTGGTGTTGGCCGGCTGGCGCCCAAGCTCATACCTTCAAGACAATCGACAAACACAATAAATCTCTGAACAAAGTCCTCACATATACCTTCTAGAGAATTGACAAACAAAATAAATCTCTGAACAAAGTCCTCACATAGTATTGCAGGACACGATGAAGCCACATCAATAAACAACAATTTTAAGCTAATACTTCAAAAGAAGCTGATGACACCAATTCAATTTACCAAAATTTGCACATCTGATCTACAATTCTGGTGTTGCCTCAAACACAGTACAAACGTGTTGCAATACAAATACATATCTATGATTATACACGTAATTAAGATGAAAGTGCCTATTCTGAAACATGGTTACAAATATGATAATTCTCACCACATATCCCCTTAACAATTCCGAGAAGCTCAGTTGGTCACCTTCGAGAAAATTGAAAAATAGACACTGAATCAACAAATAAAATTACTTATACACCGTCAAGGCTGACATTTCATTGTAATCATCATGGTAAACGATTTAACAGACACAGATAATTTTTAGACAATAATCCAACCAAGTAACCACATAGTTAAGGGGTGTCATCTAAAAGCGCAAAAGATCACTGGAGGTCACCTAATGACATCGAGAGAAAAAAAACATTCCTCGATAAAACTCAGATCAATTAATACCGCCGTAACCACTTCAAGATCAAAGTTAACTACGCTAGGACCGCTGATCTAATCAAGCAGCAGTCTAAACTACAAACCGAAAGCACACATACATGAATCAAAACGAGAGAACAAAGGGAAGAGAAACAGTCATTACTTTCGCTTCTTCCTCCAGGCCTTTTGCTTTCCACCGGTGGCCCGGCGCTTGTGCATCGAGTCACGCGAGATACCTGCACGGACACATCCACATCAACCGCCGAGACGCCCATTAGCATCGCTCAAAACGGGGAACCACCGCGGCAGAATCGCTCAAACCGGAGAACCGGCGCCACAGAACAAGCAGAGCGAGAATCGAGGAAAGTGGGATCTCACCCATGGTGGCGGCGGTGGCTTGGCTCCGCTGCTTCTCCTCCTCCTCCTGGTCCGCCTGCGCCGCCGCACTTCTGCTTGGGTATCACAAGGGAGAGAAGGAAACCCTAGGGTATGGGGTTTATATAAGGGGGGCGCCTCGGCTGAGGGTTAGGGCTTATTCACAGGCACCGGTGGGCTGATCCGACGGTCGTGATAGAGTGAGGCTGGCAGCGGCCATTTCTCAGGACGAATCAGCCCAGTTGGGCCCATCTGTCTCACTAGGACAGGCCCGAATGAGAAGCGGCCTCGTTTGTATTGTATTGTATTCCTTTTTTTCGAGCATCATCCTATTTTTTCCTTATTTATGTATTGGGAGGAAAAAAGAAGGCTATCTCCGAGAGTTTTTAATAACCCACTCCTAAAATATAGAAGACCATTTTACATCAAGAATCGTATACTATTTCTAAAATATCATAACCCCTTTTATATATTTTTTCTTTCTCATACATTTGCATCAGGAACCCTTTGCTACTCCTTATTCTTTTCCACACCCTTCCACCTTTAGATTGACCGACCGATACGCATGGGAAAGCACTATTCATGTGACCGCTACTACGCGCAAAGTTACGGGCGACGGGGGAGGATTTCTCAAGTGCGTAAATTTTAGGAGCATGAATTAGAAATTGTTGGAGAGGTTTTTTTCATCTTGCTAAAAATCAAGGATTAGGAATGAAAATAGGATACTATTGGAGATGCTCTTATTATCTTTGTTTGTATTCTTTTTTTTATCTCCGTTTGAATTCCTTTCGATCCTCTAAAAAAGACTAGTCTTTTTTTATGTTCTATTTAAATTTAAAATTATAAATTAGTGGTTATTTTTTTACTGGTCCTATGAGAAATATGGTTTATTTATATAAAACAGACAGGATTGTGATGTAATGGAGGTGAGAAAACGGTTACGCACACTGCACACAACAAAACTTTCTATTGATCGTGCGCGTGAGGATTTATACGGGATACATGAAGTCCCTTTGAACGTAAATCACCTAGTCAAGTAAGAGGTAATCAAGCCTAGAGAATAGCTTTACACTTACAGTCTGTTCGCTGATTGGTTTCTAAGCTGATAAGCCCAGCTGATGTTGATCTATTATGAGAGAAAAATACTATACCATAACTAATAAGCTCTTTAACTAAAACCAACAAACGAACGTGGCCTTACATACAACGCTAAGCTAACAGCGCCTGCAGTGCGATCGTGGTTGCTGCCTGGAGGAAGGAGCCAAGGATGGACAAACTGTCTAGAAATTGCCTAAACTGTTGAGTAGCCAAACCATTTGTAAAAAAAAATTAGTATTTTTGTATGAAAAAATGTGTTTTGTATCATGTAAACCAAAAGCAGCAACATGTAGCGATCCCATTGGCTACTCCTTGATACCACAGGATAGACGCAGTATCAGGACATTGAACGCCGAGCCAGTACTTTCCAGTAGTCGGCATCTGAATATGCAACGACTGGAGATAATCCCGGTGTCAAAATGAAGTCCGAGAGAGGTCGTTCCGTGAACATATATATAAGGATTTGGTTGATCAGAGCCGAATAAAAATAGTGTCCTAATAAATTATAGGTGTCTCGTTATCGACACGAACGTCGCCTACCACTGAAACCACAAATAATATTAAATCCTAGAATATTCGCTCTTACGAAGAGTCAAATCCAAGACCTGAGATGCTTACCTGTAACACTAGGCTACATGCTCTTTCACTTTTTTGAGAATTTACTTTTTATTTGAGTGGAGCGTTGTCTTTATTCAATCACCATAATAAGAATTACAAATGCCATCGCGAGGCTCCAAAATCAAACATGTTTGTCAGCATCAAAATTTGAACATCACCCTTTGAAGGCGAAATCAATCTTTGCAAAAGCTCTCATTTCTAGACTTTATTTGTTGGACGATGATGCCATACCTACTCATCCCCTCGTCCTATATGCTTCTCACCACGTTGGCACAATTGCTGGACATAACTACCTATAAGCCGTAGCCCATTATCCTCTATATCTAAATAGGAGATCCCCAATACAATATTTTCCTAGCTTAGATCCCCACTACTATATTTTCCTAGCTTCTCCTGCTGCCACATCATCATGGGCGCATCAACCACAATCACCATTTGAATACCACATGCAACGTGCAACGCACAAGAGACTCCACAAACCTGCCCATGTGATCCCGTGGTCTCTTCGCCTACTTTGATATTTTGGCTTCCCACTTCCTAGTCCACCAACAAGACTACCCCCTAGACTCCCATTGCTTCTCTGTTATAAATGACATGCTCCAGACCATTACATCCGCAATCTGCCCTCTAAAGACTCCAAGAGGCAATCAAGAAAGTGCCACACAATTCCTATGTTGGAGCGTCACTTTGAAATTTCTGCACACCTGCCAAGATTGCCGTTTAGTTCTGTACACACACGTGTGGCAAGCATAGGCCCCGTTCGCTTCGCTGAAAAAATAAGTCGAAACACTGTTCCGACTGATTTGTTGTGAGAGAAAAACACTATTCCTGCTGAAAAAACAAGCTGAAAAGTACGGATTATAAGACAGACGAACAGGGCCATAATCTCTTAATCCTGCCCGGTAATGTACTTTTTCTGCAATTGTATTCTTTTATCTTTCCTTTTTTTGTTAGACCAGAGTCCGCAACGATCATAGTAACTCTGTTATCCTTTTCTATACATTTCCTGTTTATTTGCATGATTTCAAGAACTTTCTCTCAAGTTAGCAAATTTCATATTGAATTAGTACGACTATTTTTCCTCTAATAGGATTAGGGGTTTGTTTATCTTCAAGTTTCCCTTTCCCAATTGTGAATTTCGCAGGTTGAAGCATTGGTTAATGTGATTATTCTATCTCACTGGCAACTGCAAAATTCCTGAAAGCATCACTATAATTTATTTGCAAGTTAACGGCCCTTGCTATATGCTGTTCGAATTATAATCCGGTGCCTTTTTACCTTTCACATTTCATCCAATCTATTTGATATGTTACCGCAACCAGGCAACCACACGGCAGAACCAGTTGCTGAAGTTTCCTCTGAACAACACAAAGATGCAAATTTTACTCTTTACATTCATTGATGCCTCATGCAGAGTTTAATTCCATCCTGCACATCAAGCAGCCATTATTGGATGATCAACTCTCATTGTTCATGACTACATAAAAAACGTAGAACCACACATCCAGGCTAATTTGTGATAATACCAATAATAAAACTTAAATTTACTATGGATTATTACTATTTTGTCTGTTTTATTTACGCATTTAAATTCTTTTTTTTCTGATTCCCCTCCTTCCCTCAGCTATCCAGAATTACACTATAAAATCCACGCAGCAACCAACGCGTGGGGTATCGTTTTTTTGAATTTAATGGCAAAGGCTTTTGTGATCGCATATCATTTTGGAGGAACTGGACCTGGGACAATCTCCTTCCAGGCACGAACAAAAGCCCACCACTGCATGCGTGGACCTGGCCCATGGCTGTGCCTACTAGCGGCCTCGCGTATCATCTGCTGGCCTGGCCGCCACAACGAACGTCCCGCCACCCGGCCGAAATCTGCCGCCGCAACGAACGGCCCGCCAAATAAACGAACCAGCCGCGGTGCATTCGCGGCGCGCGCCCGCATAGTCGTTCGGGAAGTCGGCGCGAGTCCCCGTCCGGTCCGGCCTCGCCCGACGCTCACGCCTCGCCCTCGACGTGCCGCTGCGCTGCGCGAGAGCCCGCGCGGAACGGCGTCCCGTCCCGTCCTCTCCACACCACACGCGCCGACGCGCGGGCGCGGGACCCTGACCCTGCTCGGCAGCGAGCGGCGTGCCCACGCCCGTAGCCGTAGCCCACGGTAGCACACACAGTACGGCCCGCCAGTTGCCACTCTTGAAGAGCGGCGTGTCAATGCATGAAGTCGTGTGCTCTGACTCGGAGGAACCCATCCACAGGCGTCGGATGGATTCGGATTAATGCCTGTGCAGAATTTCTTGGCCAGACCTCCCAAGTTCTTGGCGGCGTCTGGCGAGCGTACATGAGCGACGACCGGCACGCCGCAGTGACGCACATGAAAGAACCTTAGGGTGGGCTACGCCACTACCACACACGGTGACGCTGACACGGTAATCTGCCTGCTAATCACAAGGACATCAATACATTCTCAATTTGGTATGGTTCGTGCTGTGGCTCCATGCCTTTGGCTCCGTGGTGATGGATTGATGGGGTTATGGGTATTAATGTCCCAACCATATGCAGAATTTGACTGTGAGGCAGCGGCGGAACCAGGACTTTTAAGTTCTTTAGGCGGCTTGTTCGTTTCTGGCGAGCGTACATGAGCGACGACCGAAAAATCGCCGCAGTGACGCACATGAAAACGAACATGGATAATAACATCTCGTAAATGTGACAACTATATGTATCAAGTGTGTGTCTCAATAGTTTTTCAATACTTTTACATATATATTTAGTATTCGTAGCGAAAAATCACAGTATTATCATCGAAAATGGATGAAATGATAAGTTTTTGTACTATATAATTAAAATTATATGCTATTAAACACTTTTTACTGGTATGGGGGTCGTGCTGTGGTTCCATGCCTCTTGTGAGGTTCACTTCTAGGAAAGCTGATGGATTGATGGTCGGTTATTAGAGGTCGGCGTTGCATGGTATCAGGCTTCCACCATGGGCGCATGTGGTAGCGGTGCACGGACATAGTGTGGCCAGGACGTTTGAGGGCTTGCAGGAGCGGTGCGGTTGCATTTGGTCCGTGGTACGCTCAGCTTGTTTAGTTCGCGAGCGGCTCACAAGCAAGCTCGTTATAGTCACTACATAAAAACGATTTTTAGCAACTATTCGAATTTTTGTGGGGCAACAGATGGAGCCGCCCCTCTGGTGGCGTTTTAAATAAGATGGGCGGTTGGTGGTGATCTGAGCCACCCCTACAAATAGATCGGATTTGTAGGGATGGCTCACTCACCAACCGT